CAATTTTTCAAGACAATTTTTTAAAATGAATATCCCATGTGAGAAAATAAGCCACTCCCAATTCTATTCCTCTCTAGAACAATCTCCCTAGCTTCCTCCGACTTTCACATCCAAGTTTCTTAAGAGTGGGCTTTACCTCCTAACTCTCCACTCACTATGGTTAGTTTCTGTCTCTACTGCTCTACAAAACTGTTCATAATGAGACCAAATGGCTATTCAAGCTGTTCCAAAATTGTTACAGCCAGTGAGTAATTATCCATCTTATCTTACTTGATTATCCTATGATGTTTGACACTATAGACAAATTTTTCCATGTTTTTCTTTTGTGCATTTTATAGCATCAAACCTTTTTTTGTTTTCTTCTACCTAAATAGAAACTTTTGGGGATGGGGGGCCATCTATTTATCCCATTCCTTAAATGCTTAAGTTTCCCTTAAGCGTTAGGCTCTGTCTCAGGCCTCAATGATTCTGCATACTAATCCATGTTACTTCTTCAGAGTTTAAATTTAAACCTGGACAGTAACATGGCTTGCATCAGTATCTCCAGCTCTGATCTCACTGTAAATCCAAGACCACAAATTCACCTGACTAGAGGACAATTTCATATGAATGTCCCATAAGCATCTCAAATACTGAATTTTAAAACCAAACCTGAGTTCATAGAACAATGTTAGAAATGTAATGTGTACTTAGAAAACCAAAACGGCTCTTGATATATTCTATAATCTTTCCCCTTATCTTTAGAGGATACTTTTAGAAACTATTATTCTATATAGTGAAAACTGTTCATGTGAAGTTGAGTAAATCCTTCTATTTATCTACCTTTCTATGTGTATATTTTTTTTCATAGAAACATGTCTGGGATTAAGTGTACCAGAAATTAACAATAAATGTTTCTGAATTCTGAGATTTGGGATAATATTTAACATTCATTCATGACCTTTCTGTACTGATGCAGAGAAGGCCGTTGACAAAATTCAACAGCCCTTTATGTTAAAAACCCTCAATAAACTTGGTATTGATGGAACGTATCTCAAAATAATAAAAGCTATTTATGACAAACCAACAGTCAATATCATACTGAATGGGCAAAAACTGGAAGCATTCCCTTTGAAATCTGGCACTAGACAAGGATGCCCTCTCTTACCACTCCTATTCAATATAGTACTGGAAGTTCTAGCCAGAGCAATCAGGCAAGAAAAAGAAATAAAGGGTATTCAAATAGGAAAGGAGGAAGCCAAATTGTCTCTATTTGCAGACGACATGATAGTATATCTAGCAGACCCCATCGTCTCAGCCCGAAAACTCCTGAAACTGATAAGCAACTTCAGCAAAGTCTCAGGATATAAAATCAATGTGCAAAAATTACAAGCATTCCTGTACACCAACAACAGACTTAAAGAAAGCCAAATCAAGAACGAACTGCCATTCACAATTGCTACAAAAAGAATAAAATACCTAGGAATACAACTTACAAGAAATGTAAGGGACCTCTTCAAGGAAAACTACAAACCACCGCTCATCGGAATAAGAGAGGACACAAACAGATGGAGAAACGTTCCATGTTCATGGTTAGGAAGAATTAATATTGTGAAAATGGCTATACTGCCCAAAGTAATTTACAGAATCAACGCTATCCCCATCAAGCTACCATTGACTTTCTTCACAGAACTGGAGAAAACCACCTTGAACTTCATATGGAACCAAAAGAGAGCCCGCATAGCCAAGTCAATTCTAAGCAAAAAGAACACAGCAGGAGGCATCACACTACCGGACTTCAAACTATGTATTGATCTAATTTTTATAATGAGCTTGTACAATTTTCAAGACAGTTTTTAAAAACTAACATCATTTCCTTCTCTTTCTATATTCCCATTTACAAATGACATCAAATAGAGCTTCTAACTAGTTCCTCAATAAGAACTTCAAACGTCATCTTTGACTTGTCATTGCACCCACCCCTCATGAATATGTCTTAAATTCATTCACATCTTTCCATGTCTTAAGTCGAGACTTCATCCTCTCCCACCTTAACTTCTGCAATGGCTCCCTGCCTCGAATTTCATCCCCTCCACTTCATTGCCCATTACTATCATCAGAGGTTTCTCTCTAAAACTCAAATCTTGGTTTGCCTTGTGCTGTTTAAAGTCAGTGACTTTCAATAGCATTCAGAATAAATGCTAAACTACTTGACATGTCCTAAAATGATCTATATGATCTGGCAGGTAGATGCTTTTGCTAAAATTCTTCATTCTAGTAATCCCACCTTTGCCATCTGAACCCAATCATAAGGTAAGTTTTATGTCTTCATGCAGTAAAAGATTATAGAAAGTTCTTCTAGCTTGCTCCCTCCACCCCTTATTTACTGGGTTTTTATAGATTTGGGTTTTACGTTTAAGTCTGTAATCCACCATGAGTTAATTTTTGTAGGTGGCATAACGAATGGGTCCGGTTTCAATCTTCTGCGTTAGGCTAGCCAGTTCTCCCAGCACCATTTATTGAATAGGGAATTATTTCCTTGTTGCTTTTGTCAGGTTTGTTGAAGATCAGATAGTTGTAGACGATAGGACTTATTTGAGTTCCATATTCTGTTCCATTGGTCTATAACTTCTTTTTTTATTTTTTATTGTACTTTAGATTCTGGGGTACATGTGCAGATCATGCACAATTGTTGCATAGATATCTTCTTATTCTGCAAACTTTGACATTCATTATCTTGGATTCCTGCAATGAAATTGAAAACTCCAGTTTCTGAAGTCAGTCAAGACTCATCAACCTATTTGTATTTTGATGTACATCCCTTAAATTTACAAAAAAAAAAAACCAACAAATATCAAAGTGCTTCAAAATGCAAACCAGTTACAACCTCAGGCAGTATTAAGGTAAAAAAGGTGCATTGTTTTGACTAAAGGAAAAAAGCATTGTCTTTGTAAATTTTTATGGAGTGCTCCAAAAGCAGGGCTTTCTCATCATCTTCTGAATAAACAAAGTCTAGAATTCCACAGACCAGAGTAAAATAAAAACAAAATTAAAAATTGACCACACACACCTGGCTGCTTAGCTCTAATGTATGTGATTAATATCATGATTTAGTACCTAGAGAGTAATCAGGCATCCAAGGAGGACAGTAACCCTAAATTAGCAGCAGTTTGATTTTTTAAAGATTTTTTTAAAGATAAAATAATGTTCTCAGGAGTAAATAGCATTCTAAATAATAATAAAAGTGTCTCTGTAGGCATGGTCTCCCTTTTTAACAGTATAAATTCAGTTTGCACCAAGACTAATTAATGAGCTAATCACATCAATAAGAGATATGTCAATGAATATAACTTCTAGAATTAGTAAAATGAAATAATTAGAAATCACCATACTTTTAACATATCTTGACATTCCTGGCCAGCCTCCCCTACCCTCTGTCAAACCACATTGTAACTCAATGGCATGCAAAAAAAAACTGCAGTAACCTTGTGGGGATAGTGAATTTTTAAATGTGTGGCCTCTGATTCTAGTGGACATGGAGTGATGGAAAATCTACCTGGGTAATTTGAGATATTATGTTAGCAAAGAGTGGGAAATTACACTTAGTAAAATGTGAGCATCTAAATGCATAAAATATAGCGATTATTAATAATAATATTATACCTGCTATGGCCATTTCCATTATTTAATAAAGTACACTTTGACAACTTTGCATTTGAAAACTTGAAAGAATAATTCACTCAGAAAAAAATCTATTAAATAAACAATGAATCATATAAAAATATTACTTTTAATCTTATACAGAGCTTTCCTTTTAGATAATCCAGATTCACAAACATTCAGCTTGGATTTTTCAATCAGAATATAGGAAATGACTTAGCTGTTTAGGGTAAAGACAGTGACCAAAAAAAATGACACTACTTTGAAATGTACTCAATGTAATAACATTTCTAAGTTGTCATCACCAAGAGATACATTACCATCTCATAATGGTGACACCTCAACAAACAGGGCAGTCAGCCTGTATCTTTATTCCTTTCAGTTTAACATAACAAAGGTGCCTAGTAATACGTTGCCTACTCAGGTTCACAGATCAACATAAGGAGGAATAAAGCCCAGAAAGTATGCAATAGCCTGCAATATCTTCCCGTCCACATTTTATCATAGAAATTACTCCTTTTGATAGTGAACTGAATAATTCATGTTTTAATCAACTAAAAAGAATTGTGCTAGATGCCAATGAAGTCTAATTACTTTACATTTGGCTTAGAAATAACGAATTAGTGGACAACAGAGATAGATTGTGTAAGAGAGCTGAGAGCTCTCAAAGAATGCAAGAAGCGATGAAGTGTGAGATGGAGTGACCAGAACAGGCTAAAAGGTGATGATATATGATGAAGTGCAGCTGAGAATCCCAAGAAATGATACAGTGAGGTGGGCAGTGGTCATGTGGACCTGGACATCTTTCCATAATGTCTTTATCTGAGGGATTATTCAAATGACCAGGAGGAAACAAAAACTCATTGGGCTGAATTTTGATACTTGAGTATTATTAAGAGCAACACTTGCCAACTAAATCTTTAAACATAGTATAGGTGTTCTGTCTTCATACTATCTCCTGTTTTCATATAACTGTAGTGATACGTTGTCAGCAAGCAGTCCTCAAAGACTGTAATCTGCCATAATTTAACTTTCATATGTGGTTGGTTTTGACACTCAGTAATCCCATAATTCAACTTTAACAAATCCTGGACTGCAAAGATTATTCATGTGTTTCTAAATCTGTGTTGGTTTGTTTGAAAGACAGGATATCAGGTTCCATGAGGATATCTAAAGCACTCGGTATAGGATCTAGCACATGGCAGGTGACCAAGACATATTGAGCGGATGAATAAATGAATAAGTGGATGAAGTCAATATAAATCTGTGACCAGAGGCAGAGCTAAGACCACACCATAATTTTCCACATTGCAAAGGAAGGCCAGAATCAATCAAAAAGTAAAAGGTACCTGATGAGTTTTCCCATACCATATTTGGTGCTGCTCATGAATTCACTGGACTACAGTCTGCTTAAGATGCAGAGACTTCATCCTAGTCAGTGTGGTACTGTCAGCCTCCAGGATAGGGCCTATGTAGAAAATGAATTAAGAAAGTCCAGTGATATATCCAAACTCACATTTGTAATAGTGTTAAATAAGAGGATTTCATCTAATTCATACATGCATCAATAAAGAGTATTGATGTGCAACTATTTTTAACTATTTTTTCTTTCCTCCATATCTTAGGTGCTGGACAAAGCTGGCCATGTTAACTCAGTGTACATTCAAATGCAAGTTCTACACCTATATAATACATCTATTTTATTTTGAAGTGTGTAAGTAAACCTGTAAAGATATAATTACAAGTCCATCTTTGGTCTTTCTCCTTACCTTAGCCTTCCATGTCATTTTCCATGCCGGTCTATCTAAGGTATTTTTGGTCCAAGTCAACATTGATTTAACATTCATCGGAAGTGAGAGTTAATGTGGCATTAATTAGCTATTCAAATAGGCATTCCTTGAAATCTAACATTTCAAACTGAAATAGTAGTAGGACCTTCTATTAAAACTACAAGCTTTTGGCAGGGCTCAGTGTCTCACAACTGTAAACCCAGCAGTTTTGGAGGTAGAGGCAGGAGGATCATTTGATCCCAGGAGCTAAAGACCAGCGTGGACCACAGAAGGAAAATCCTCTTTTCGAAAGATAAAAAATTAGCCAAGCCTGGTGCCACATGCCAGAGGCTAAGTCTGGAAGATCTCTTGAGCCCAGGAATTCGAGGTCACAGTAAGCTATGATAGTACCACTGCACTCCAGCCTGGGTGACAGAGCAATATCCAGTTTTTAAAAGGAAAAAAGAAATAGAAACTTCTGGATAATATGCAAATTTGCTTCTTTTTCAATTTGTCTGAGTTTAGGTAATCATAACTTTTTTATTTTATTTTATTTTATTTTATTTTATTTTATTTTATTTTATTATTTTATTTTTTGAGACAGTCTCACTCTGTCACCCAGGCTGGAGTGCAATGGCATGATCTCAGCTCACTGCAACCTCCCCCTTTCAGGTTCAAATAATTCTCCTGCAAGAGAGTAGCTAGGATTACAGGCATCCACCACCACGTCCAGCTACTTTTTTGTATTTTTTTAGTAGAAACAGGGTTTCACCATGTTTTCACCAGACAGGTCTCCAACTCCCGACCTAGTGATCTGCTTGCCTTGGACCCTCAAAGTATTGGAATTACAGGCGTGAGCCACCACATCTGGACGATCATAGCTTTTCGAATTGATCAACTTTGTATTTATCATTTTCAGATGCTTTACCACCACCACCCCTTTACTGCAATCAAAAGAACCCTAGTGTCACTCCTTTGCTTTTATCTACTTTGTTTCTCTTTTATTAAGAAAATCTCACCTTTAAAAAGCTTCTGGTTATTTCTATTTATTCTCCACTTACAGTATAAGTAGCAAAGGGGCTGCATTTTTTAAAAAATGTACATAGAAGTAATGTTAGAAAAGAAATCCATGCTTTCTGCTAATGAAAGCAGGATGTAGGAGAGAGTGTTATCAAGGAAAAACTTTTAATTACTTTCTAAAAGTGCTCAAAAAGTTTTTAAAAATATGTTTTGGCATAACTCATCCCAGCACCATAAAACACAGGTGCTTTGAAAAAAAAGTGAATGGATAGGCCAGAGTGCAAGGGCCAGTAAGGAAATCCACAGTGGACTAGATGCAGAGTAAAATTGGTCAAAGAGGTGGTATTCAGAGAGGCCATATCAGTTTCATTCATTCAAATTTTATATTTTGCAATGGAAAAGTGAACTGTCATGAAGATATCCTTTGGCTTGTTCAAAGGATTGTATAAGAAAAGAGGTGGGGAGGACTCCTGCCAAGATAGCCAAATAGGAACAGCTCTAGGGCACAGTTCTCAGTGAGAGAGACACAGAAGGAGAGTGATCTCTGAATTTCCAACCTAGGTACCAGGTTCATTTCAATGGGACTGGTTGGACAGTGGATGTAGCCCAAGAAGGGCAAAGTGAGGCAGGACCAGGTGCTGCCCCACTCAGGAAGTGCAACTGACTGGAGGATCAGGGACTTTACCCCCTCGGCACACCTGTTCAGATACTGTGCTCCTCCCATGGCCTTTGCAACCCTCAACCCAGCAGAACACTGCCAGGCTAAAAAACACTGCGAGTCACCAACACAGATCTGAGCAACAGCTCCAGCCAGCCAGGCCCCACCAGTTGTCAGCACAGTTCTGGGCAGAAGTTTTGACTAGCACCGAGAATGCCTGTGGGATGGATCTACCCACCCACGAGAAAGAGAAAGAGCTGAAAGCAGGGAGACATGTGATATGGCTTGGCAGGTCCCACCCCAACAAATACCAGCAAACTGAAGCCCTCTCACTTGAGAGTTTTGTAGCCAGCACATCATTTCGAGCTCCACCCAGGACGACTGAGCTCTGTGGGGGAAAGGGCATCTGCAATTCAAAGGCGGGTCTAATCTCACCAGTGTAAACAAAAGCCCAAGGATTAATTTTGTATCTTGAGATTTTGCTGAAGTTGTGTATCAGTTTAAGGAGATTTGGGGCTGAGATGATGCGGTCTTCTAAATATACAGTCATGTCATCTACAAATAGAGACAATTCAAATTCCTCCTTTTCTCATTCAATATCCTTTATTTCTTTTTCTTGCCTGATTACTCTGGCTAGAACTTCCAATACTATATTGAATAGGAGTGGTGAGAGAGGGCATCATCCTTGTCTAGTGTCCGATTTCAAAGGGAATGCTTCCAGTTTTTGCCCATTCAGTATGATGTTGGCTGTGGGTTTGTTGTAAATAGCTTTTATTATTTCGAGATACATTCAAGTTATACTTAGTTTATTTAGAGTTTGTAGCATAGAGGGATGTTGAATTTTGTCAAAGGGCTTCTCTGCATCTATTGAGATAATCATGTGGTTTTTGTCTTCGGCTCTGTTTATTGATGGATTACATTTTATCCCTCGTACCTACTTTCTTACAGCATGCATCATGTTATGCAGGGCACAACAATCACTGAGACCTGGATGGAGATGTCACACTACCTCTTGGAATGCTCCTTGGCTGACAGTATCAGTGAAATCTGCCTTTCAGTTGAAAAAAGGAAAAGGGAAAGAGAAAATTCCACCATCTGCAAAGGAAAGGTGGCAAGCTCTGCCCAAATACAAAAGGAGAAAGCAAGTATTTAAAATTTACAACTCAAGGCCAGGTGCAGTGGCTCACCCCTGTAATCCCAGCACTTTGGGAGGCCAAGGCAAGTAATTCATCTGAAGTCAGGAGTTCAAGACCAGCCTGGGCAACATGGTGTAACCCCATCCCTACTAAAAATACAAACATCAACCGTGTGTGGTGGTGCACGCCTGTAATCCCAGATACTCAGGAGTCCGAGGCAGGATAATTGCTTGAACCCACGAGGCAGAGGTTGCAGTTAGCTAAGATCTCAGCCCTATACTCCAGCCTGGGTAACAGAGCAAGACTCCATCTCAAAAAAAAAAAAAAAAAAATACAACTCATGCCAGCCACCTTTATTATTTAAAAAGACTGTTCTTGAATTTAAGAATACATCATCTTTTAGAACTAGGAAGCAAATGATTTCCTCAGGAGGTGATCCTGGGAAGCACTTGTACAGAAGGAGGGAAGTGAAACCGAAAGCAAGGTAGAGTATGTTTTGGAGCAGGTCAGTGGGCAGTGGAACTCCATTCTCACTCAAGAACTTGGGGAGATAATGTGGACTATGTCTCAGAGGCATCCCCGTCAAGGGATATTTACCCTCAAGCTCCATCAGTTGTTGACTGAAGCCTACTCCCAAGGGAACTTAAGGTCATGGAACTTCCAGCATGCCCTACCCACAAGCCGAAAGCATACCATGGCCAGAGAAACCTTAGTCTCACATGTCTGCTACAGGAAGGTAGAGTGACATGCATGGGGACTTGAGTGCCAAGCTGGTATGGGGAGGGTAGCAGCTGTGTTTCCTACCTTTCATTTCCCTAAGATTAGATTCCAAATGCCAATGCGTTTATGATCCAACCAAACCATGAGTGAAAGGAGGAAAATCTATGCTTTTACATAAAGAAAGCTACAATTAAGAGAAGACTAGAATGACATTCTTCTGAAAGAAAGTGTCCCTACTCCAAACTTCTTGGACTTCAGAAATACTTAGAATTTAGAAATAACTAAGAAATAATCTGGAAATTAATATTGTATTAGTCCAGAGAAAAAGTTGGCAACGTGGGGCCCTCTGGCAAATCCAACCTGCAACTGTCTACATATGGCCCCCAAGCTGAGAATGGTGTTTACATTTTTAAATGGTTGGAAAAAATCAAAAGAAGACTGTTTCATGACACATTAAATTTATATGATATTCAGATTATGAACGATTTCATTGTTCATAAATATTTATTGGAACACAGCCACGCTCATCTGTTTACATAATGTCTATGACTGTGCTGTCAATGGCAGAGTTGAATAGTCATGACCGGGACCATCTGGCCTCCAAGACCAAAATGCTTTATTTTCTGGCTCTTTAAAGAATGTTTGCCAACCTGTGATTTAGAACCAAGCTCACTCTTTGGGAATCTTCGCGATAGTAGCATGTAGTACAAGGGAGGGCAGAACAGTCTCTTCCTTTATTTAAGAGGAATCCAACCCACTGATTAGGCTCCATCAGGCAGTTCTCTGAGCTTCTTGGATATGGAGGAATCTCTGTTATTCTTCCCCTCCCTAAATTCATCAGAGCAGAATAAATATTAATAATTCCCCAACAATGTTGGTGTAAAACTATAGTTTCTTACTGGCAAAGCGTGTACTAAGGAATGAAATTCTTATATAGAGAGATGAAAATAGAATAAATGTTCAGAGGTAGAATCACTGTTTTCTCCAATACAAAATATAACACTTTGCAAACACCTGCTCTGTTTTTGAGTGTTTCCAGACATAAATTCACACTGGAAACTAATGTTTGAACTCTTGAAAAGGAGCTAATTTTGAGAAAGGGGATCAAAAGGTATCACACCAAAAGATAATACTACGGAAAAAAGACAGAAGTGTGTGGCAACAG